ATGTACACAGAAGCTTTTGTATATAAATTGGGAGATTTCATTGACTCCCTGAATTCTACTTGTAGCCCACAAATCCCAGGCTAAGAACTGACTTAGATGATTTATCATGATAGTAATGGTGGAGTTAACATTTATTGAGTGCCTACTGTGTGCCAGGTACTGAGCAGAGTGCTCACATATATTGCCTCATTTATTCTCATAACCACCCTAGGAGATGCCTAGTACTCTCATGGCCGGTGGAATCATGGTCCCCCAAAGACGTCCACGTCTAATCATTGAACCTATGAATGTGTTCACTTTACATGGCAAAAGGGACTTTGCAGATGTGATTAAGTCAAGGACCCTGAAGGGGGGAGATTATCCTGGATTATCCAGGTGGGCCCAGTGTAATCACAGGGGTCCTTATAAGAGGGAGGCAAGAGGGTCAGAGTGAGAGAAGACGAGGTGATGATCAAAGCAGAGGGAGAGGAGATGTGATGATGGAAGTGAAGGTCAGAGGGACGCATGGCCACGAGCCAAGGAATGCAGGCAACTTCTAGAAGCTGGAAAAGGCAAGGAAGTGGATCCTCCCACAGAGCCTCCGGAAGGAATGCAGCACTGCTGACCTATTGTAGACTTCTGCTGTCCAGAACCATAAGATAATAAGTTTCTGTTGTTTGAAGGCACTGAGTTTATAGTAATTTGTTACAGCAGCAATATGATACTAATACAACCATTGTTCCAGTTTATAGACAAGAAACATGAGTCTCAGAAAGGGGAGGTCATGGGCCCAAGGTCACACAGTTGGTGGCATAATAGGATTCAAATTCATCACGGCCTGTCCAGGAGCCCTTCTGGATCCAGAGGGAGAGGATTCCAGAGCCCTGAAGATCAAGAGGAGGGAGAAAAGGGCAGCAGAGGGGGAGGGCAGGGTGCGTGTCAGGGGGGCTCTTCCTGTCCGAGGCTTTACCCTCTGCAGACTCCCTCCCCAGCTGATTACCTTTACAACCAATCCTTTCTCCCAAATGGCATCATATCGGCTCCCACCGGGGAAGTACAAGGTTCCTTGGCCATGAAACATGCCGTCCTTCATTTCCCCAACATACTTTGTTTCGGTAGGGAGGATGTATTCGGCTTCACCCTCCATCCTGTAAGGACAAAGGGAAGTCACTGAGCCCTCATGGCAGCTGGAGGATCAGAGCTGGCGGGTTCAGGAGAGCCAGCAGGAACCTCAGGGTCCTTGGACGTTACTGTCCCAGCAATATTCTGTTCAGAAACAAAATGTTTGTTTCCCTCAAAGCTCAAAAGTAAGAGGGGCTGTGCGTCGAAGGGGATGCAGGGTTTGGTCTATTTGTTCTCCCTCTCTCTCAGGTAGGGACTGTCCTGGAGTTTACACTGCCCCTGGAAGCCCCCCTTGGGAGGCCCAGGGAGGGGAACAATGCGTCCAAAGCCACACAGTAAGCACTGTGAAGCAGAGATGGGGGCCAGGTTTCCTGGTAGCTGATGCTGGGTCTTCCCCGTCCCCCACAACCAGCCTACCCCTGCCCATTGCGCCGTAAGTAGGAAACTGGGAAAAGTGTGAAATTTAGATAGGAAACAGGAATTCGAATCCTACTTCACCATGCTCTAGATGTATCATCTTGGAGACTTTCCTAAATCTCTCTGTTTTCCCTCCTTCCTTTGTTCCTTCCTTTTTTCCAAGAAATATTTACAGAACACCTGCTATATTCCAGGTGCCTTGCTGAGTCTAGTCTGTTGGATACAATACTACAGACACAACAGTGACCAAGGTAGATGCAGTCCTTGTCCTCGGGGAGCTCACAGTTCAGTGGGGGACACAGTTTAGCAGTTATATAATGCGTGGTCAGTGCCATGTAGAAGACAGGCCCCCACCTGAGCACGGGGCAGGGAACCAGCTGGACCACTTACTTCACGTGTGAAATGGCTGAGATTAATGCCCAAGATTAACCCAGATACTGGTAACAGTTTTCCTAGTAAAGGGCCTGACATATAGTGAGTGCTTAAGAAATATGCTTTCATTCATTCCTTCATTCCTTCTCCATTCTTCCCCACTAGCTGGAATTTACCTCTCCTAACTCTGAACTTCTTTGTGGTTTTGTTTGTACCTCCGTTGGACGCCTTGTACTTTCTGCATTGCATCGTAATTGTATACCTCATCTCCCCTATTTAATCAAAGCTTCTTGAGAGGAAGACCTTGGTATCCTCAGCTCCTAGAATTATGTTTTTTTAAATAGGTGCTCGTGAACATCTACTAAGTAAGGAACGAAGGAAACAGAAGGGCCAGCGGACTTCCTGAGTGGATGACAGAAGTTGCCGCTGTGACAGAGGCCCCAAGCAGGAGAGCGCTGTGGTTAAGTCACAGCTTCTGAGCCGGGCAGGCCTGGAGTCCAGACCTGGCTCCACCTCTCCATGCCCGTGTGACCTTGTGTGACCTCCACCTTTCTAAGCCTGAGTTCCTCATCTGTAAAATAGGGATAATGATGACACCCCTGCCAAGTTGTTGCGTTAATGGCTATGAAGCTATCATAGAATGCCTGACGTATAGAAGACCTTAAAAACCATTTTGCTTTTACTTTGCTGCAAGACACAGAAGGAAACAGAACTCCTCTTCTTCTTTTTTATTTCTTAAAATTTTTTTTTTGGCTGCATTGGGTCTTAGTTGTGGCACGTGGGATCTTCGTTGAGGCATGCGAGATCTTTCGTTACTAGCGTGCGGGCTTCTCTCTAGTTGCGGTGTGCGGGCTCCAGGGCGCGTGGGCTCTGTAGTTGTGGCACCCGGTTCCAGAGTGCGTGGGCTCTGTAGTTTGTACCGCACAGGCTCTCTAGTTGAGGCGTGCAGCTCAGTAGTTGTGGCACGCGGGCTTAGTTGCCCTGCGGCACGTGGGATCTTAGTTCCCTGACCAGGAATTGAACCCACGTCCCCTGCGTTGTAAGGCGATTCTTTACCACTGGGCCACCAGGGAAGTCCCTCCTCTTCTTCTTTCCTCTACCTCTTTGCTTGAGATCACATCTGTCATTTCTAAACATAGTCTCCATCTAAGCCCTTCTCTGAGATTTGGCATCTCCCCTCTTATTATTTTTTTTTACTGCAACTTGGACACTATTATTCAGACCACCTACAGACATCTCCAGCCCACCCCAAATAGAACTCATCCTCTCCTCCCCCAAAGCAGCCGAATCTTCCAAGTTCAAAGCCTGGAGGTGGGCTCTGGGCTGGGATTGGAAGCAGTCTCTGAGTGGGACCAGGAGCCAACCAGCTGCCGACTCCTGGCAATGAAATTGCCCAACTTCTAAATTTTTCTCTTTCCTGCAGCCCCGCTGCCTCTGCCTTGGCCCGGAGACCTGGTGCCTCTTACCGAGACAGTGGCAATGGGCTCTGACCTGATCTCCCCACCTCCACTCTGCTTCCTTCCGTCCCTCTTTCCATCCTTCCCTTCCTCCTCTCCCTCTCCTTCCCTTCCGTTTTTTCTTTTATTCACTCAAGGTGAAAAGCCTTCATTTTTTATATGTATTTTTTTGGCCATCCCATGCAGCAAGTGGGATCTTAGTTGCCCCACCAGGGATCGAACCCACGCCCCCTGCATGGGAGTGCGGAGTCTTAACCACTGGACCACCAGGGAAGTCCTGAAATGCCTTCATTTTAAATTCAAAGTAAATTAGATAGAACAAAGAGAGCTACTTTATAATGAAGACATCAATCCTTAACAAGGATATGATGACCATATCTCAAATATTATTCATTCATTCATTCTCTCATTCATTCATGTGGCTAACATTAACTGAGTGTGTGCTAGACAGATGTACTATGAGGAGGGATACAGAGATGAAATAAATTAGATTTCCTAATGCCCAGCACTACCAAGGGTCTAACAGTGGCTCTTCCCACCCACAGAATTGTGCATGGTGTTCAAATCTCTCTAAGTAAGAGCACAGCCCCCCTGTCTAGCTTGGGCTCCCACTCTCCTCCAGGCACATTCTACACTCCACCCAAACTGAACTGCCTGCTCTTTCCCTTATAAGCCCTCTGAGCTATTGCTCATGCTGTTCCCTTTGCCTGGAAGCATTCTTCACCTTGCATCTCCACCCACCTAGATCCTACTCAACCTTCAGGGCCCATTTCAAATATTGTCTCCTCCATGAAGTCTTCCGGGACTGCTCCAACTAGATGCATCCTCTACAGGGGCTCAGCAGCAGGGGTCTATAGTAGAAAGCACATGGGCTCTGAAGTCAGATCTGGTTTTCATCTCTGCTCTGTCAAATGCCAACTAGGTGACTTTGAGCACATTATATAATTACCTTGTGCCTCACTTTTCCCATCCGTATAATGGGGATGATTATATCTATCTCATAGGGTTGCTACGAGGAGGGAAATATTCAAGCAAAGCCACTATCTGAAATTATCTTCTCATTTATCTGTTTGTTGGCAGTATACCAACTAGACGATACGCTTCACAAGAGCAAGAATCTTGACATTTTTAATATTCTTATCCCTATATCTAAGACTGGCATTTAGCAAACACACATATATACGGGTATACATGGAATGGATGTATCTCAGCTCTGCTGTTTATTAGATATGCGTCCTTGAGCAAGTTACTTCACTTCTCTGGATCTCATTTTCCTGAACTGTAAAATGGGAATAAACGTTCCTATCTGAAAGGGTTGTCCTGAAGTTTAAAAGGCATAAAGTTTGTGAACATGTCTGGTACAAAGTCCTTTGCAGAGGCAAAAAGACCGCCGGCTTTTCCCAGTCACGGATGTTGAAGACATAGTGAATCAAACGAGGTCCTTACCTCCCATCTACAAATTCCCCAATATATTGGCTCCCCGTGTACTCCATGGCGCCTGCCTCTAGCTCCCAGCCGTTGGGAGACCAGAGTCTCGGTGTATTCCGCCTCACTATGACAACCAGAAGGGATAGGCGGAACCGAGGCGAAGCCCCACCCCCAGGGTCCGCGGAACTTCCTGGCTCTGCGCATGCTCTGTGGCTCGCTGTTGGGCAGAGCAGTGCGCCTGCGTGCCACCGCTGCGCATGCGCACACGCTACGTGGCCCACGGCAGTCGGAAGGGGAGTTCAAGGAGACGTGGGCGACGCGGCGGCGGGCACCTCTTCGGGGTCGGGGCTACCGCCGTCATGCCCGGGATAGTGGAGCTGCCCACTCTGGAGGACCTGAAAGTGCAGGAGGTGAGGCTCGTCCGGAGGATAGGCAAGCGGGGCACAGGGCTACAGCTTCCCGGGCCTGGGCCCAGCCCTGCTTGCACTCCTCGGACCCTGGGCCCCGGATCCCCCATCCCCACCCCATGCCCCCAACACTTACACAGGTTGACCCTCGGAGGCCTCCTGGTCAGCTCGGGGAGACCCATCCCTAAGTAGCTCGAGAACTCTCCTCCCCTTCCCCGCAGCAACCTGCGTCTCCTTTACGTGAATAATAGTACTTTTTATTAAGCACCAACCAGGGTCACTTTACTTACTTCATGTCACTTAATACTCAAACCTCCTTGCGAAGTGAGTGTACAACCCCGGGTGCTCCAGTCGAGAGAGAGAGAGAGAGAGAGAGAGAGAGAGAGAGAGAGAGAGAGAGTCACCTTAAAGTAGCATCGTCGGTGCAGAGTGCATTGGAGTGGAGCTAGGAAGCCGCAGAAAAAGGAGATGATATTGGAGAGTGAATTTGCTAACAGCCTGGGAAAGTGTTTGGTAATAGGACATTTAAAGCATTCATTTATTCAAAAACTCTCATTTGAATAATTACCCATACACTGGAAAATAAGAGAGATAGTCCCTGTCCTCATAGAGTTTATAATCTAATAGGGAGACAGAAACATAAAGAGGCAATTACAGTACAGTGTAGTTAGTGCTATGAGAAGTGAAGACCGATAATACTAATTACAGCAGACATGATCAGGCCTTTTCTAGATGTCAGGCAGGTTGCTAATTACAGACATTAATTCATAGGGTCCTTCCAGCAACACTGTAAGGAAGGGTATAATCGATCTCTCCATGTTACAGATAAGGAAACAGGTCCTGAGAGAAGTGATTTGCCCAAGGTCACATGGTAAAGCTGGCATGTGAACCCAGGTCTGATTTTAAAACCCATGCTTTTAAACTACCATATTATGGGCAAAAGCTCAAAAGAGCGAGAAGGCTTAGCAGAACCTTTTGTATTTTGTGTTTTGCTTTTTGACATGACTCTTGTTGGTGGAAAGCAACAGTTGCTGAGCCGGGAGAGGTACCTTGGGCTGAGGCAGGGCTGGAAGCGACTTTCACAAGGCCAGACTGAGCAGTTTGGACTTCATCCTGTAAGTGAGGTGGTGGGGAGAGGTGGAAGATTTTAAGGCAAAAAAAGTGCCAGGACAGGACTGGATAATGAGGCTACACTGGAGGAGAGGGAGGGGAAGATGAAAAATTACATGCCAAAAATTATATCCCAGGCCCTGTGTTAAGTGTTTTACCTGCATTATTTCACTTCATCTTATATGCCTGTGAGAATGGCAACTATTATTATATTATTTTAATTATTATAATAAAGTGACATGTACCAAAAGTTGGGGGTGGGGACGTGTGGATACTGCCAACAGACAGTTTGTTTCTTGCCCGACTGTGAAGCTGGGTTAAGACTTTGAGCTGCTGTGTTTTTCACTGGCGCTTTAATTTGGTTCAGCAGTCATCTGAGGTTCTCTTCTTGCACGTGTTCTATTTCTGGAATAAATTTGCCTTTAGAGTTCACACAGTTGAATTGAGGAACAGATAATTACATAAATAGCTAAAATACAAAACCAAGTATGATTAAATGCTACAGAAGAGGGGCAGGCATGGTTTAAGAAAAGAGGGTAGGATTTGAAGTTGTATCTAAATTCTAGGCCTAACTCTTCAGTTACCTCGATGAGTCACTTTTCCCATTTGCAGACACAGTTATTTTATTTGTAAGTTCTCTGAGGCTATGAAGGGAACAGAGAAAGCACTTCTTGGGTATAATGTAAGACTTGGCTAAATGTCATTTGAAGAATGGCATTTACAGGCAGAGATGGAGAGAAGAACTTTCTAAACAAAGCAGGATCTGAGCAAAGGTAAGCAGGTGAGGCCAAAAATGGGTTCCAGGAAAGTGAGTTCAGTGTCCTAGAGGACAGCCAGCACCTTTTTAAAGTCTGGTGGGTGAGAAGGCCGGAAGGATAGTTGGGATCCGAAGGGTTTGAATACTTAAGTAGAAACTTAGGCCTTATTCTGCGGTTAAGCCTGAATCCTTCAAGGGTTTTGTTGCTAATTTGTTTTAATAACAGAGTAAAATAAGAATTGTCTTTTAGGACAGCAGCTCTGTGAAGAATGGTTGGAAGAGAGGAATAAGAAAAGCAGGAAACCAATAACTGAGGAAGATATTATTGACCCCAGCATGATTGGTGACTGTGCTTACAGAGAGGAAAGAATGCATTTATCTAGAATTGATCCGACTTAGCAATGACTTAGATATCAGAGGCAGCAAAGGTTGAGGAATCGGTGTCAGATTTGCAACTTGACAGAACTGGGGAAGCCAGAAGGAGTGGGTTTGAGAAGCAAGTTAAACCCATTTGGGACCTCATTGACCTTCAAGTTACATGACACATGCCTATGGAAAATTGGTCAGAAGCTTTGGGCAGGAAAATCCTTGTACACATTAACGATTTTGAGTAAAAATAATGGCCAATATTTATGATGTGCTTCTATGTGCTAGGCACTGTTCTTCATATCTTTAATGTGTGTTAACCGTGACAACAGTTCTATCAACTAAGTACTATCATCCCCCATTTTACATAAATTAAGCAAAATACAAAACCTAGTATAAATTAAGTACTACAAAAAAAAAAGGTGCAGATCTGGTTTAAGGAAGAGAGAACAGGACTAGAAGACTGCTCGTAGATTGTGGGACTTTTTCTGCCTCTGTTTCCACACCTGCAGACCATCTAAACCTGCTGTGCAGTGAGGCTGTTATGAGGACAGATGAGGAAGGGCATTGAAATTCTGTGTTCTTTGAGACAAAGGGAGCTGAATGAATCTGAGAGGGTATTCACAGTAAGCAGCTGTGAAAGGCTGTGGCTTCTGTTGGAACTTGTCAGTATTAGTGAAGAAGCAGGTGAGGGGTGGTGGTGACATCTGGAGTTCTTTGCCTCCTCAGTGATGCAATGGGGAGAGGCCTGATTGGAGGTCACACTTTCTGGTGCTAGTTCTGCACTTGCCACTGACTTGCTGCGCCATCTCGAGCACATTGCTCCTTTTCCTTAGGAAATAAATTCAGTGAGTGGTTCTCAGCCTTGATTTCCCTGTGACAGGGCGCGTGTTTTATGTGCTCCACAACATGGGCATAACCTAGATTGGGATAAGACCTCTACACTCGTGGGGAAGTAAAGCAAAGAAAGCCATAGGCTTTTCGGGGCGTGGTAGCTGTGAAGGCATCGGAGTAATTAAATCAGCCATTTAAAGATGTTTTCAGACATTTGACAAGGAAATAAATGCAGCTAACTTAATTTTTTAAATATACTAAGCTTTAAAAAAAGTTTGCGTCTTGATTTTTCAGTCTCCCAGCTCTTTACAGGTAACATAGCAAGCGAACGTGTACCACTCGATTAACGTAAGTAAACTATTATCAAAAACTGGAATACAAAATTTTACAGATTTTTAAATGAGCATATTAGAATTGTCATGGCAAATTTCACTTACATCCTAAATTTACCTTTGCTTTGATAATTGGAACAGTTGTAATATTAGTAGTCATAGTCATAACTTTATTCTTCTCTTCCTATAGTGTGTAGATGAATTATCTCTTCATCTTTCCTTGCCTTTTATCTTATTAAAAATATTAATAATTTAATCTAAGCTGTGTGAAATTCCTGAAAAATGAAATTATAAAATTTTTATTGTTATAAAAATAATAATTATAAAATTATTCTCATGTAAAAGTTCTTAATACATATTTGCAGATCAAATCCAGGGGTATCTTAAGGCATAATGCACTAGGACAAACTAGATTTTATTCTAGGTACAATGAGTCAGTTTTAGAAAATCTGTTAATACTCTACATTACATTTATAGATTAATGAAAAAGAAACCTGAAAATTTCAGTCTTTCCTGGTGGAGGAAACAACAGTGCAACAAAGCCATTTATGGTTAGAAAGAAACTTCCCTAATGAGGAACGTCCAACAAGTATATCCCAGACACCAACAGCCAATATCATACCAAACTACTTTAAAGTTTAGAACAAGGCAAGGACGCCTACTGCCATTGCTGTTTGTCTGTATCATCCTGGGAAGTTTTGGTCAGAGCATTAACATAGGGAAAGAGAAGAAGAAGGAAAAAAAGATATAAGTGTCAGAGAGGAAGGGAAGCAGTTTTTATTTGTAAATGGAAGCTTTTCTCTTAATCCTCTTGAGTTTCCTATTAGAACTGACAAGAGTTCAGTAGACTGTGGTTACAGAGAAGATACAGTGTAAAAACAAGCAGTAACCAACTTGAAAATCTAAGGGAAAAATGTCCCATTTAGATAGTATCCAAAATGTGAGAATACTGAGGAATAAACAAGAAATATGCAAGTTTCCTGTATGAAGGAAACTGTAATTTTGACCAAAGAAAGTGAGAATGAGCTAAATAAATGGAGAGACGTACTGTGTTCTGGATGAGAAGGCATCATTCATGTATTCTTAACTCTCTTGTAACTGTTACCTCCCCTGCTGCTGGCACAGAGTGAGTGCTTGACAGCTCCTTGTGCTGGGGCGCCGTTTTGGGTGCTTGGTGGACCATGGTAAACACCACCTTAATTAGTTTAACTTAGGGAGAACGGACATCTTTACAGTAGTCGACCTCTGTTAAAAACAAAATGCCAGGGCTTCCCTGGTGGCGCAGTGGTTGAGAGTCCGCCTGCCGATGCAGGGGACATGGGTTCGTGCCGCGGTCCGGGAAGGGAAGATCCCACGTGCCGCGGAGCGGCTGGGCCCGTGAGCCATGGCCGCTGAGCCTGTGCATCCGGCGCCTGTGCTCCGCAATGGGAGAGGCCACAACAGTGAGAGGCCTGCGTACCGCAAAAAACAAACAAACAAAAAAACCCCAAATGCCTACCCTCTTGGAGCTTACGTTCCAGTGGTCACAGATAGAGTGACCACTGGTGCTAGCTTATCTAAGATGATTAGGGAAAGACTGAGATAAAATGTGAGCAGAGACCCAACAGTGTAACAGTGCCCTTTCCTTTCTAATTTGTTGTGTAACTAGACTTAGTACAATTCCAATGGGAATTATTGGAGGAAGGGTGTTCATCTGTAAGAACAGCCAGAACGGTTTTGAAAAGGATGAATAGTGAGGAGGATGGTCTTCCCAGACAACGAACAGTAATTCAAACATTGTGGTATCAGTACAGGAAGAGGTGGTACAGAAAAGAGGCTAGCAGGACCCCTGCTGCAGCAGCTGCTAGACAGGCTCTGGACTGTACCGTGAGCTGGCTGTAGCTACTCTGTGCTTCTCAAGAAAATGTGCTGGGGTGCAAGTGAGTGAGACTGACACTGTCGTAGGGATGGCTGCCTTGGATATACTCTATAATTTTAAAAAGTTCACAGATTTGCTTCTTTATTATTAATAATAACTTGCTAAGCTAGATGCTCTTACTCATCCCTTCCAGTCTCTAATCTTCTGTGAGTCTGTCATCTTCTGGGAATCTTATATATCCTCCACTGTTACTTTTATTCCTGGAGAGGAGACTCGTCAGTGCTCCTCAGGGTTGGTTCCTCCCCGTACATCCCAGAAGCCTCCATCTTCCTTCAGAGCTCCACTTTCTCTCTCATAAAGATCTAAGGATTCCATTCGGGCTGCCATTTCCTTATGTCTAAAATGGGGATGGGGATGGTAATATCAGCCTGATGAGATTATTACGAAGGTGTGGAAAATCATACATGTGAAAGAGCTCTGTGGTCTCTGAAGCACCATAGATCCTGAGGGATCATTACAGAGTCCCCTGTCTTTAGTGTTCTTGGCAAAGTCAGAACGGGGCTACCTTCCTGTTCCCTCTATCTTGACCAGCATGAGGTGAGGTTAAGGAAGTGGTGTCCTGGTACAAATCTGGTCCTTCTCCTCTGTTCCTCTCCCCAGGTGAAAGTCAGTTCTTCTGTGCTGAAAGCTGCGGCCCATCACTACGGAGCTCAGTGCGATAAGCCCAACAAGGAGTTCATGCTCTGCCGGTGGGAAGAGAAGGACCCGAGGCGGTGTTTAGAGGAAAGCAAGCTTGTCAACCAGTGTGCCCTGGACTTCTTTAGGTAAGATCTTTTCACGTCAGTGCCCGCTGGTTGCAACATCAAGGTGTATGTGTCTCCGTGAACATCCAGCTAATTAAATGGAAGGATAAGTTTACTAATTTTAGTAGGGAATGGAAGGCTTTGCGGTCACATAGACCAAAGTAGAGCACACAATAAATGAGAGTTCTTTTTGCTCTTTATTACTTGGCACTTTTTTTTTTTTTTAAAGTATAGTTGATATACAGTGTTGTGTTGGGACTTCCCTGGCGGTCCAGGGGTTAAGACTCCATGCTTCCAATGCAGGGGGCACGAGTTCCATCCCTGGTTGGGAAGCTAAGATCCCACATGCCATGTGGCCTAAATAAATAAATAAATAAATAAATAAATAAATAAAATTACAATGTGTTAATTTCTGCTGTACAGCAAAGTGATTCAGTTATACACATATATATTCTTTTTCATATTCTTTTCCATTATGGTTTATCACATGATATTAAATATAGTTCCCTGTGCTATACAGTAGGACCTTGTTGTTTATACATTCTATATATAATAGTTTGCATCTGCTAATCCCAAACTCCCAATCTTTCCCTCCCCCATCCCGCTTGGCAACTATAAGTTGGTTCTCTGTATCTGTGAGTCTGTTTCTATTTTGTAGATAAGCTCATTTGTGTCATATTTTAGATTCTACATATAAGTGATATCATATGGTATTTGTCTTTCTCTTCCTGACTTACTCAGTATGATAATCTCTAGGTCCATCCATGTAGCTGCAAATGGTATTAGTTTATTCTTTTTTATGGCTGAGTACTATTCCATTGTGTGTGTGTATGTGTGTGTGTGTGTGTGTGTGTGTGTGTGTATAGACCACATCTTCTTTATTCATTCCTCTGTCAATGGACATTTAGGTCACTTCCATGTCTTGGCTATTGTAAATAGTGGCGAGTTCTTTAATCTCCGTGAACCCCAACTTCCAAATTGTAGAGTAATACCTATCATCAGATTGTTGTGAGAAATTTGAAAAGGCACATAAAAACAGCTTAGCACAGGGCTTGCTTATAGGCATTTACTAGATTGTTATCATTATCATTACTACAGAACACACAGTTATGATGGAAAGGAAAGGTGTTCAGAGTCAAGTGTTGAGGTAGGCCACTGTACTTGATATAAGTAAAAAAAATCCAAATTATAATTGTGGAAAAATGTTTTAACCATATTAGTCAGAACTCTATTAAAAAGGACAGAAACTCAACTCAGAGGGAATTGGCTCATGTCACCGTTAAGTCCAGAAATAGGACTGGCAGGACTGGATTCAAGGGCTTAAATAACTTCACACCTACTTGGTGTCTTTTGGCTTCACCTCTTATCCCCCACCCCCCGTTTCTTAGTCCTGCTTTTCTCTGTCAAATTCATTTTCAAAGAGACCCTCTCCTTGCTTTAGCAGCAGTGGCCACCAGCCAGTCCAAGCTGCTGTGCTCCTTGCCTAGCAGACGCAGACAAAGAGTGCCACCCGGTAGCATGAGCAGTGGTCCCTGGACTGAGTCTCATTGGCCTGGCGGGTCAACTTCACGTGCATATCTTTGAATCAGTTGTGTTTCAGGAGATAAAATGCTGTGAGTGGTCAGGCCTAAAGTGGGGAGTAGACTTAGATTCATCTAAATCACATTGCCGAGCGATAGGGAGGGGTTGTTCCCCAAAGGAAAATTCGAAGGATGTTCCAGAAGAATAGAGAATGACTGCTGGCTAGGCAAAACCTTACAATGACGCTAGAGGAAACAAAAATTGCTTCACACAATAGCTGCTTTCCTTCTTTCTTGCTTCTGCTGTCTTTGTCCACGTGCAGAGATATTTTTGTGCTTAAAGTCATGGTGTGTGTACATTTGAAAATTCATTTTTTCACTTGAAACTATTGGAAACATTCTTTCAAGTTGCTCTGTCTTAATGATCATCATTTTTCTTGGCTGTGTAATATTCCATCAGATAAACCAGCCATAATTTTGTTATTAAACATCATTATTGATTGTTTTGGATAAATCTGCAGTGATTACATTTGTGTAGAGATCATTTTCATTTTATAATTAATTCCTTGGCATGAATTTCCCAGCAGTGAGATTATTCTTTAAAAGGTTTTGAACATGATTTATGGCTCTTGAATTACAGTTGGAAGTTGGGTCAGTTTATGCTGTCCTCAGCCTGTATCCTGGTATCCGTCTCCAGCATTGCATATTATTTAAATACTTGATAGGTACAAAGTGGTGTTTTACTCTTGCTTGAATTTGCATTGATTTGATTGCTAATAAGGTGGAATGTGTGTTCCTTTAAAATTTTTTTATTTTCTAAGAGAACTTTGGCAAAGTATTTTTCCTTTGACTCAGAGGGAGCATGTTTAAGTGGAAAATGTTTGGATTTCACAAGCTCCTGAGGTGCTGAACTAGCTTGCTGTAAGCACTAGTAGGTAATTGTCTATTAGTGTGGGTGCCAGGTAACAGAGCCCAGAACATAGACCTAAGTACCAGAGTGATGGTTTGCAGCCTTTCTTCCGCTGCAGCGTATTGGAGGAGTCCAAAACTCCAACTGGACACGGTTGCTCACCACCATCGCGATTCTTAAGTCGAAGCTAGGGGGGTGCAATTTTGTGTACCGTAGAAATGCAGGTCGTTGAGGCTAGAGGTAACCCAGAAAAGCTCCCGAGGCTTTGACATTCCTTCTTCCTTCCTCTTAACACATCCCATCACCCCCAAGGCTATACTCAAAATACCTGCAAAGGGGGCTTCCCTGGTGGCGCAGTGGTTGAGAGTCCGCCTGCCGATGCAGGGGACGCGGGTTCGTGCCCCGGTCCGGGAAGATTCCACATGCCGCGGAGCGGCTGGGCCCGTGAGCCATGGCCGCTGAGCCTGCGCCTCCGTCCGGAGCCTCTGCTCCGCAACGGGAGAGGTCACAACAGTGAGAGGCTCGCGTACCGCAAAAAAAAATACCTGCAAAGGTATAAGAAACTGGTGCCCCTTGGTGGCCTCCCAGGAGGGGAACCGAGCAGGAATGGAAAGCCAGTTTTTCTTTATGTATTTCCTTCGGCCACCTCCGAGGTTCTTCCCGAGACGTGTTAAATACGATTCCTGTGTTGAGTGTAGCTAGATTCTTCGCGTGTGACAAGCAAATACTTCATTATTATTCCACCGGGGGAAGGAGGTGCTCCACGCTTCTTCCACTGCCTGAAATATGGCTTTTACATAAAATAACAGTATTTTATTCTCATTTGACTTTGCATTTATTTGATTACTAGCAAAGCTGAATGGTGAGAGAAGGGGAATTTCGCAAAATAATGGAGGCTTATCCCTTTTATACACAAAAGTTAGTTTTTCTTCAGCCATTTCTGGTTACCACAAAATGAATTATATGCTATGTTGCTTCTTAACAGAGAGCAAATATAATTTAACTTTCTTCCTAATGACAAGGATTAATCTCTGTTTTTGTTCAGTGCCTGAATAGAATGAAGTCTTTTGAGCTTTGGAGGCGTGTGGGGCAGGTTGCCTCTACACTGATCGACCCCAGGATCAGAAGATCCTTGTTAGTTTGTGAATTTGCTTTTTATAGTCTGTCTCCTCCTTTGTCAATGTCTGTCACCTCTGACTTCTGTCAGCATGCCCATCTCTGAGTGCGCCTCCTTCTCTTCTAAATTTGCGAAGTGGGTAATCTTTAGATTGGATCTAAGAAGAATAAATAGGTCCCAAGTGAGGAGTTCTAAGTGAAATATATACGCCTTAGACCACAGTCTTTTGACATTTCTATTCATTTGTTTTTGCTACACAAAGAAATTAGGTCTTATTCCTCAGAAATCTTTTTTTCCGTATCGTTTCTCAACCTGAGGCTCTCCAAGGGGTCTTGTAAGTGAGGTAAGCGTACTCCCGTACCTTTCAAAAAGCAAGGCTGTGTGTATGAGGTCTGCACCAAATTTTTCCCCACTTTTTTGTTTTTCATCGTTTTGCAAAGAGCTGCCCCTAATCAAGCCCTCTTTTCCAGGCAGATAAAGCAGCACTGTTCGGAGCCTTTTACAGAATACTGGACCTGCATCGATTACTCCGGCTTGCAGTTATTTCGTCGGTGTCGCAAACAGCAGGCGAAGTTTGACGAGTGTGTGTTGGGCAAACTGGGCTGGGTGCGACCCGACCTGGGGGAGCTGTCAAAGGTAACACAGTTTCCTGCTGCTCTCTCCCTCTCTCTCTCTCTCTCTCTCTCTCTCTCTCTCTCTCTCTCTCTCGCTCTCGCTCTCGCTCTCGCTCTCGCTCTCTCTCGCTCTCTCTCTCTCACTCGCTAAGGGTGGGGAAAGGCAGGGGGTGGAATGGGTCTTCTGTGAGTACAGATCTGATGTGAGAAATCCAGACTGACCAGTCAGCTTCATTAGGGAGTGGTTATACACAGTCCAGAGGGAGTTTATTTAATAGAAGTGTTCCTTTAAATAGCTCGCCCAGCATGTGCAGATTGGTTTTTGATTAATTAGCTAACTGAAGAACAGAAGGGAGTAGATGAGGATAAACAAAATGTTAGGGGCACCGTCAGTTGAAAACATTGAGTTTATTGTGGGGAAATAGGTTTGAGGTTATGCCACATTTTTCAGGAACATACCTGAGATTAAAAAAAAAAAAAAAAAAAGTAATGCCTATAGTCTAAAAAGCTTGTTTCTCTGTTCTTTCTCCCATATTTCCTGTCTCAGTTGTGACACCACCATCTGTTGAACCCTCAGAGGGAGAAACCTGAATGTCTTGTTTCTTCACTTTGCACTCTTTCTTCCTTTATCCAGTCCTCAATTCCTGTAGCATCTCCTGGAGTATTGTTTTGAATCCCCTCACTGTCCCCCACTTCCTGGACAGGAGTTCTTAACTGGGCTACGTGCATTTCTGGGAGGGGAGGATGGATCACTATAGGCGTGATCTGTGTGGAAAATAAGTCAAATATCACTTTCCTTTAAAAAAAAAAAAACAGCTTTTCAAGGGGACTCCTATTTGCTTGCAAAACAAAGCATCCCCTCCATATCCTGACATGCCACAGCCCTTTGTGATCTGACCCATCCCTGGCTTCTTAAGCATTGTCACCCTCCATGCCCTCTGGGAAGCATAGGTAGCAAGGCATGGCGGGAAGAACTCTGGTTTGAATGGAGACTGAGAGTGGATTTGAATGGTAGTTCCCTGACTTAATTGCTGTGGGTCCTTGAGCAAATTTCTTAACATTTCCTATCCTACCCCATTTATAAGATGGGACCAGTCTTAATCCCTGTTTTTCTGTGAGGATTAAGCTACGGAGCCTGTGTGAATCCCCAGCACAGTACCTGGCACATAGGTCCACAGTTAGTGTTTGTTCCCTCCCTTTGTGTGTGGCATCTGTGGATAGTTGGTTCTTAAGCTTTTTGCCATAAGTAGAGGAATGGTTAAGCAATTTTTTTGTGTGTGTATCTGGCATATCTTTACTTCGGATATCTTCTTTGCCACCAAACAAATTATTTTATTTATTTTTATTTAAAATAAATTTTTATTGGGCTTCCCTGGTGGCGCAGTGGTTGAGAGTCCGCCTGCCGATGCAGGGGACACAGGTTCGTGCCCCGGTCTGGGAGATCCCGCGTGCCGAGGAGCGGCTAGGCCTGTGAGCCATGGCCGCTGAGCCTGCGCGTCTGGAGCCTGTGCTCCGCAACGGGAGAGGCCACAACAGTGAGAGGGCCGCATACCGCAAAAAAAAAAAAAAAAAAAATTATTGAAATATAGTTGATTTACAATGTTGTGTTACTTTCAGGTGTTACTTTCAGTAAAGTGATTCAGAGATATATATATGTGTATATATATATACACATATATATATATTTTTTACATTCACTTCATTATAGGTTATTACAAGATACTGAGTATAGTTCCTTGTGCTATACAGTAGGTCCTTGTTGGTTATTTATTTTATGTATATAGTAGTGTGTATATTTTAATTCCAAATGAACAGATTATTTTCAATAGTTGATAATTCTAAGCTGGAAAGTGGTGGGACTTTTACATAGAATCGAGAAAACTACCGTTTCTCATTTCTGTCTCACGAAAGGAGAATTTACAAATCACGTTGTTAAGAAAGCATTTTTATTCCTGACTCTTTGTAATAACATTTTTAAAAACCTATAAAAGGAAAACGTACTGTTATCTGAACTCTCTTTAAAAGTGTATCTCTTTAAGAGGATTCTCAGCTTTAGTTATACTTAAGTTCAGTATTCGGTCTCTTTCTAAGAAGGGTCATAATTGGCTGCACAAAGCCTCCATTTTAGCGTCATTCACTTGTGCATTCTGGTTCCACTGGCTTGCGCTTCCCTCCTGTTTGCCCCCAGTGAATTCATACTCACTCGTCCAGTCTCAGCTCAGGTGTCAGGTCTGTCTTTGAAGTTTCTGGCTCTCCTAGGCAGGATTGCTCTCTCTCACCCATAATTCCATTGTCCTAATAATATTAATATTGAAAATAACTAATGGAGCACCTGTTCCATACATCAGGTGCTTCATGTATATTACTCTAATAACCCTAGGAGCTACTACTAGCTCCGTTTTACAGATAGGAAATTGAAGGTTAAGTCAGGTGCCCAAGGTCATTTACCTAGTCATTAGTCTGACCACATGCTTCTGCTCCTTTTCTGTTTTGAGTGTGGTGCAGAAGAGGAAGTTGCTTTATTGCCCTTTCCCCAGTAATTTGTCCTTTGAAGGGGTCCTTTTATTTTTTCTAGATTTATTGCATAGACATCTTGAATTCCTTAAAGGAGCTTCAGATGCCAGCTGGAGGCATTTGGAATACTCTGTCAAGCAGTAAGGAACCATTAGTGATCTCTAATTATAGCAGAGAGATGAGAAAACTGTTTTAAAAGCAAATAAAAAACTATTCTGGACTTGTAGTCAGAAGACTGGGGTTCCAGCTCCAGCTCTTGACATTTGCTGTGTCTTGATCTTAGACAAGCCAGCCATCTCTGCTCCTCTTCCGTGAACTCGAGATAATTATGCCTCAGAGGGTGGTTATAATAAGAATTATGTGACTGTGTCCATGAAAGCTCTGTTCACAATAGATGGTGTTTGAATTTGTACATCTGGGAAGATTGATCTGGTCACAGTATGTGGAGTGGCTTAGGAGGCCACCAGATAACAAGACTACTGATAACCACGGCCTTCTGTCTTTCTGCCTCTCTGGGCCTGTTTCCTCATCTTTAAAATGAGAACAATTTCTGCTGGGTTTCTGATGGAGACTTCTGTGGGTTTCAGTGGGTGTAAAACACCATCCTCCTCTCTCCCCGGGACCCCAGTTGGCTCCCTCTCTCGCCTGGCCCATTGGCTCAGCGCCCCCGTCTAGCTTCTGCTCCTTCCGGCCTGGCCTGCAGACGTGAGTAAGTTACTTCCCTGCCCCAGTGGCACCTGTTGCCCTTGGGTTAGAATTCAAGCATCTTTGTGTGTCGTTCATCACCTGGCTCCCGTGTCTCAGTGTCGAGCATTCTGTGAGAGCACGGGCTTTGGAGCAGGCAGATCTCACTTCAGGTCCATCCACCGTTAGCTGGGGGGTCCCAGTGAACCTGCAGGTTGACCTCCGAGGAGTGTGAGAGTGAACTGGAGTAATGCGCTTGGCGTCACGTCTAACAACAGGACGTGCTTGGTGAGGGGCTGCCTCTCCCTGCGCTCTGCGCGCGGCCCGTGCTTCGGCTGCCCCAAGGCCGCGCCCCTGTCTCGGTGTGCACTGTTGGCTTCCTGGAAGGTCTTTTCCTCTCCAATCTTCCTGGTTGGCTCCTGCTCACCCTTCAAGAGGAAAGTAAACGTTGCCCCCTCAGAGCCAGGCCGAGGACGCGTGGCCGTGCGGAGGAGGCCTTGCTGTCCTAGCGCTCATTCGTCTCTCGGTCACCGTGACCGCTTAGGAAGGCCTGGGTGCTTTTCCGGGCTGACTCCTTCACTGAGGACAGTGTGGATCGTGCTGTCTTCCGTATCCCTAACTTCTTCCATGTGGAATGACACAAAGTAGGCCTTCTTCAATGTTTATTCAGGGTAAGTGTGATTTGCTAGGGCTTTATGGATGGGGAGTGGCTGAGGCAGCCAGGGCGGAGAGGAGACCCCAGGAGGTGGGTTCATGCTCACAGCTTCTCCACCTGCCCCTCAGCTCTGCTTCTCCTCTTTTACCCGCTGCAGGTCACCAAAGTGAAAACAGATCGGCCTTTACCAGAGAATCCCTATGACTCAAGAGCAAGGCCAGAGCCCAGCCCTGAGACGGAAGGAGATCTGAAGCCCGCCAGACATGGCAGCCGCCTCTTTTTCTGGACCATGTGAAGATGGGTCCGTGGCCCACACCCAGTCATGCACCCAGGCAGCGGTGATGAAAACTCTCCTGTAGTTTCGTCAACCGATAGAGGGCTCTTTCCAGAATCACAAACATTAACAAAAACATTAATTTATGTGACTTGGCAGTTATTCTATACCGTTTCCTGCCCATTAAAAAATTTAAAGGAAACAGTTGTATTTTATTATGTTTTATATAACCTTTTGGCCTTTAAAGATGACTTCCCCTTGCTTTTTGTGCTTGTGGTCCTGCCTGTTCCTTTCTCTTTGCTTCAAGTAGGCATTTGCCGGTGTGGCAGGGGAGCCGTGTGGGATCACAGACAAATGGCTGTAAAGGAAAGGCTTTGTTACCTGCGACAGCGCCTCGGGGCCAGTGTGGGTTCACACATTTTGAAGTCTCAACTTTCTTTCTTCCCATCCAACCTCTCTGACAAACAGAGTTCCCTGAAGGTCACACAAGGGAAGCATCCAGGATAGGAGAAGTACAGAAACACGAGCCTCGTGACTCAGGCCATGGGCGGGGCTCCTGGCTTGGTCTTCTGCAGTCTCGCTCAAAGTTCCTTAAAGAACCAAACTTCCACCACTTCCCCTTGATATCCCATCCTCAAGCATTATAACCCAGATGTTTTTCCTGATAGACAAGGGAGTTGGAGGCTGAGCTCCCAGCTCCAAAGCCAGGAAGTCGGGAGGTCTGAGTGTCAGTTCCAGCCTTGGGTGTGTTTCTTAACCTCTTGTGAGAGGTTGAATTTGAGGACAAACTAAAGGGAACGTGCTTATCTACCTCCTGGGCAGGTTAAAGCCACAAGTATTTATAAAGCTCTTTGGTTCAAAGCACTGTTACGTCTTTCTTTTCCCTTTCATTCAATTCCTTTTTCACTACTAGGCTATTTCCTCTCCATCTGACTGGGGGTCACTTTACACCTTCTGGTCGTGGCCTTATATTGCATGTGACCCTGCGTAAGTCTCAGCTCCCTGGGCCTTGCTTTCCCATTTGCAGAGCCCTGGAAAGCAGAGTTGTATGGAGTCTTTATAAAGGCCTTTCCAACTCCTGGATACTCGAAGTGGGGAGATTGCAGTGAGGCATTAGTCTGTTGCCCAGAGTGTTAGGACAGAACACAAAGCATTGGAAGATGAGCCTTGCCCCCCACCCAGTTCTGACCCCTCATTTGGGAGCATTTTGGGTAAACCTTACTCGTCTGCAAAAGCTTGCCAGCCACCGTTGCCTTATTCTCCAATTTCAGAAGAAAAAGAATAGATTCTTAAATTTTTAAAACAGCTAAGGCAACACCCGTTAACCCCTTGCGGGCCCAGTCATTGGAAGTCATCCCTGGTGGGGAAAGTAGAAGCAGGCCTGCAGATTTGTTCTTACGATAACCTCAGACTATGTTGCTTCCTAGGTTCTTTCTGCAAAGGAAGCTGGGACTTGCATCAGTAATAACAAATATTCATTGAGCCCTGTGCCTTGTGCCCAGTGCTTTACATGTGTCAACTCCTTCGATGCTCAGAGCCCTTTGAAAGAGTTTCTGATATGTCATTTCACAGGTGGAGGGGCTAACGCCTAGGGAGAGGTTAAGAAGCCCCATTCCTCCTTCCTATACGAAATAGTGGATGTGGGATACAAATGAAAATCGTCTGGTTCCAATGGCCGCATCCTTGTCCTTCAAAGTCATCAGTGGTTCTCAGCCTTGTCTGCACGTTGGAATTACTGGGAGGCCCTGAAATACTGATGTTGGGATCCTACCCCGGAGAGGTTCTGATGTAATTTGTCTGCACTGTGGCCAGGCCGTGGAGGTTTTGAAAGCTCCCCAGGTTGCTCTAAGGTGGAAACCAAGGTCTAGGGCCCCTGATTGATTGAAGCAGGTCCGAGAGGTTAAGTGCTAGTAGGTAAGTGGCTGAGATTTAAACCCAGATACGCCTGATTCCAAAGCCCTTAGTCTTCCTCTATTCCGACGCATATACATCACCTGAGGTCTTATTAAATGATTCTAATTCGATAGGTCTGGAGTGACATCTGAGATTTCTAGTAAGTTGTTGGTGCTGATGTTGCTGGTCCGTGGACCACACGTTGGGTAATGAGGGAATAAACCACGGTATCTGAGCGCAGGATCTATGATTGATCTATCTGGCTGCAGTGTCTAGCGCCAGGCCCTCCCTGGAAGTTAATTCTCTTCTTTAGAATCAGAGCAACAAGTCTTGAACTGTTAATGGCTTCAAATTCGACTCTAGGATGTTTTAACTTTTGCCCAAGTTGGACAGAAGTTCTTGCCTTGCCTCCTCCTTGCTCTGAATTCCTTGAACGAAGAAATTCACTTTGGCTTTCCTGTGTTCTTGATGGAATCACACCACATCATAGCCTTCTAGGACTGAAGAGTCTTAAGTAAAGACAGAATTCCTAAAATCTCTCACCCCAGACGGGGTCACAATTTCAGTAGGGAAAAAGGTCACAGCACAATTTGAAAGCAGTCGGCGCGAAGAATCTCTGAGCAGGGCGTCAAATAATAGAAAGTCTTCCTGCTGGTTTGGCTTAAGAATAATGAGGCTGACTCCTCACATTCCCAAAGGAAAGTTATCTGCCCCCTTTCCTCTGCCAAGCCTGTTCCTGTCTTCCCTATCGGAGGGAATGGCGTCTCCATCCTTCCAGTGTCAAAACATGAGATGCTCCCGTGACTCCCGCGCACTGCTCTCCGTGTTCCAGTCCCACAGCAAGTCCTGTTGAGTTCCTTCTATAACCTTTCACGTCTGTTACTTCCTCTTTTATCTCAACTGTCACTGTCCTAGCCTGGTTTTGTTCCCCTTGGCTTGGGTTATCAACACCACTGCCTAACTGGTCTCCCACCGCCATCTCGCCATCCAGACCAGGCCCCAACTTGCTGCCGTGCCTCTGCCACTCGAAAACCTTCAGTGGCTCCTGAATGGCTATTAACTAAAGCCCAGATCCTTACCGGCATCCTGACACGCTGTAATCTGCCCTTAGCCTGGCCCATTTCCTGTACCACTATCTGACTCCTTGTCACAGACCCTACAGTCGCCCAAATGCCATCCCTCAAGAGTGTTTTCCAACTTCCAAATCTTCACTAATGCCGCCACCATCCACTTGCCGGGAAACAATCCTGCCCCCATCTCTGCCTCTTGAAGGTCGACCCATCTCTCAAGGCAAACACTAATGCTGTCTTCCCCAGGAAACGTCCCTTCCTACAGCCACAAGTGCTCTTTCCTGCCCCTTTGTTCCCATGACACAGTATGGCATGAGGGTTAAGCACAAGGACTCTGGAGTTGGGCTGTCTGGATCTGAATCCAGGCTCTGTTGTTTCATAGCTGTGTGACCCCAGGCAAGTTACTTAACCTTTCTGTACTTTCTTTTCCTCATCTGTAAAATGGGGGGAACAATGATAGTACCTACATCCTGGGACGGCTCTGAGGATTTAATGAGGTTTACACATGAAATGCTTTGTACAGTGTTGGCAAATGGTAGCAATTGTCACAGCACTCTATTTGAGTAATGCCTGTCATGGCACTGGGTGTTATCTTGTTTCCCCTGGTCTTAGTACTGTAAGATCTGGCCTTCTGTCTTATTTATATGTCTATATTCTAGTGCCCAATACATGGAAGACATCAGAAAATGATTAAACTATACCCCACGTTTATCTTTCTGAAGAACTTCCAACCCCCCTCCTTGCTATAGAGCAACAAACCAACACATTAATTATGTAGAGATAGGAGTAAATCTTTTTTTTTTTTTTTTTTT